GATTTTGAATATAAGAACGGACTATGAATACCGCCCTATGTAAATCTTTACACACTTCTTAAATTTGGAAAAGAGAAAAATTCTCGTGCAAGTAATTATTATGAAATATAGTACATGCATGTAATATTGTAACACTATGTTTAATTTTACGTTGAAATTTTATCATGCATTTTTTCTGAATACAGAAACGTGTGATAAAGAAAAAAAAAAATACCACACGATTATACAAGTCCGCTCATTTTTATTGAACAGGTTTTTAAAAGGAGTATTTCACCTTCTCATCGCTGTGACGTCACCACTGGCAGCACTGAACAGAAGATTAACGATCGAGAGACCTTTCGTCTCATACTTATGCCGTCTTGGGTCCTTCTTGTTCGTCGCATGTTTCAAATTGTCATATCTGCGATCATAATAAACGGACTAAATTAATCGGCATAAGAAAAACGAATAATAACGAAAAAAAACATGTCTTCGATTTCATATGACGTTTATGATTGATGATATAAACTGTGGTAAACAAAAAAATTGAGATAAATGTAAAAGAAATATTCAGTAGAGTTGAAATATAAGCGTAGCACAACCGTGAAAGTTATATTAAGCATTTAAACAAGAGATAACTTTTTATATTTAAAAAATGTTTCAATGTCTTTAAATAATTTAAATTATTTTAATTTTTTATCGATCTCTTTGTCTTTCTCTCTCTTACCTGTGAAAGTTAAACTCACGCACAAGTTCTTCGCAGAATTGTAAACCGCGACAAGAATTTCCAAGCGGATCCAAAGGTGGAGACCATGTGCAAATTCCCATAACATTTGGAATTACCACTAGAAGACTTCCCGACACACCGGATTTCGCTGGTATACCCACCTAAATACAATAAAATACAATGTTTCTCAATTTTGTATCAATTTGTATGGCTAATATTAATATGTAAAGATTAATATTACATGTCAAGTTCCAAAATTTCTTTAATTCACATTTATTTATCATTATTATCATTTATTCTTTAATTAAAAAAAACGGATCACTTTTGTTGCAGTATTCCACCTTCGCGTAATTATTATGAGATTTTCAACTCACATTAAATGCGAATTGTCCGCTGTAGTCATACATGCCGCAGCTATGCATAAGACTCAACACGTCACGAACGCTTTCCGGTTTTAAAACCTTCTCCTCAGTTATCGGACATATGCCACCATTCGCAAGCGTAGCTGCCATTACCGCCATCGTCTCGCAATTCGCTTCCATGGCACAACACTTTGCAATAAAAAATTTATTTGTCAGCATTTTATATACATTACTCCACAGAAAATAGAGAACACTTTTCAGACGCTTAAAGTAGAGGAAAATAAAAAATTTTTGGAGAACGGCCAAAAGCATGTAAAAGTACAAGTTTCATCCTTTAAAATGCTTTTTTAATTTTTTGCCTACGATGATTTTTCGCTGAGTTACAACGGTTTGAAAATTGATGTATTTTTAGCGCTTAAACGTCTCGACACGGCAGAGCAAAGCGACCGAGAATGGCTGAGTGCGCGCCATTAAAACGGCATCGGCGCGCACTCACTACGATAATTTTCCGCCGAGTTTCAGCGATTTAAAAATTACTCCATTTTGTGCGTCTGAAAATTGTTCTCTATATTTTCTAGAGCAGAGTATGTTGAGTTCTTAATAAATAAAAATAGAAATCGAAACGATTTATTTCGATGTGCATATCGTGCGTCATATACACATAAAACTAAAATGTAACGCTAATCGTGTAAAATAATGAAATATACACTCTGAGGTATGTTTTATTTAAAAATTTAAAGAAAGCTTGCACACATTTTTATTGTGCAGACTTTGAGAATAATTTTTATCTATCAAGTAAATACGACGTATATAAAAATGAATTTAATTTCTAACTTGTTGAAGAAAATAGCTTGTGATAATTCACGGAAATATTTATGTATATCGATTATAATTTACCTGGAAATAAAAATCCATAATTTCGCGTAGATTAGTCTTATCCGGATAACATCCGTGCTCCCTCATGTAAAAACCTAAAGCGTAATTTCGATCGGCTGCCTCTCGCTCTGACAGAAAAACAGCGTTGTTAAAGCCGAGAGTCTCTTCGCCGGCCAATCTTTTGAAGTAATTCATTGTGAAATCGAATTTTTCTGCCAAACCCATTTCTGGCTTGACTAACCCTTTCAGAAGCGAGCAAATTAGTATCGCGCCGGCATTAATCATTGGATTGTGTGGTTTTTCTATAAAAATATTCACAGACATCCACATTGAATGCATATCAATTAATTAATTCAGATCTTATCGTTCCATTATAATACATACTATTGTAATCGAGCACGAGCTCGTTGAAGTTTCTGCCAGATGGTTCTTGACCAACGTATTGATGCACCGTTTCCTGACCCAATCTGTCCAGAGCTATCGCGTAGGTCAAAGGTTTGCTACAACTTTGAAGTGTAAAGGGTATCGAGGTGTCGCCGATGCTGAATCGCTGTCCGTCGATAGTGCACACGGAAACGCCCCAATATTCTGGATTCATTCTGGCCAGCTGCGGTATATAGGACGCGACTTTGCCTTCGGTGTTTGTCTTGCATTTCCAATAAAAATCCTCAATGTGCTTTGTAAAACCCGCCCAATCAGAAATTATAAACTGATGTCTGAATGCTCGCGAGATCAAGACAATATTGGGATTTATAATTCTGAAAAAGAGAGCAAAATTCAAAATATTCTTCAACTTCTGAATAAGGTTCTTAATCTATACATAATTTTAAGAATTATATAAAAAATTTGTAAAACTAACAGAAAAAAGGTATTAAAACCAAATCACGAGTGTCGAGGTGCAAAAAATTATTACAAATTAATACAAAATAATGATACAGAAATGTTTTAACTCAATTTTTGAGCTCTTTTAAGTTCAGTAAGATTATAATAGTGTGTGATCACGCATAAACATTGTGTAGCATAATTGTCACTGTCGCTTAGTGTTCACAACAGTGTTTAATACATTTCTGTATCATTATTCTACATTGATTTTTAATAAATTTTTTGTACTCTGATACTTACGTTTGGCTTCTTATAGTCCTCTTTCTGTTAATTGTTTTGTTATTATAAGACTATACGTCACGTAAAATTTTGTAAGATTTAACACTTTTATTCATATGTATAAAAAAGTATATTAAATTTACTTTAGAAATTATACTCTTATATATAAATAAAATTTTTCTTAAGACTAACCTTCTGAATTGTTCTCTATCCAGCTTCTGCGTTTCATGCGATACACCTTCGTGACCGCCACTTTTTGCATGTTCTTTTTTCAAATTATCAGAAAGTTCTTGAAGTCGAGGATCATTCTTCCGCAAGCCACTTGCCCTTAATGCCTAAAATGGATTATGAAGGCGTCAAATTTTATCCTTTTTAAACTGTTTTGCAAAAAAATGTTTACAATATTTTATTTTTGTTGTACGTACAGCTAGGAACTTTCCCACTGATACAAGACCAGTCTCCTCGTTTTTAAACATGTCAAATAAAACATCTTCGGCATTTGTTGCTTGATCTTGATCTCGAGTGCTGTAAAATGTTGAAAATGCAACTATTAGAAACAAATAATGCTTTTGCATAAACATTTAAAAGCAAAAAACTATATACTATACTCAAACATATATATTTCGCAACTGTATTTTTTTTTTAGATATTTTTAATCATAAATAACAAAACGTATGTAACAATTACTAACTACATCATTAATTATTTCAATTATTTTACTATTTAGCAACCATAAAATTAACGTTTAAAATCCCATTTATCATATTTACATTTATTTATATAATTGTAGATGTAAAAAATTTACCATGCATTGAATATTATGAACAAAATTGGTTACTTCTATAATCAATGTATACAAAGTCCATACCATTGTTAATTTTTAATATAATTATTATTAATACTTTGACGCAAGATATCAATCACAATAAGCTATTCATATATCATCATGCATCAACGTAGTGCGTAGTACTCACTACATATAGTGACTGTCATGAATGAAGCTATATTCGCTGTAACGAAAAGCAAGACAAACGATTTTATATTAGTAATGATAATGCAGCTGTTATACCTAAGAAAGCGTGCCAACATCCTGGTGGATAGATCATGTTTCTTCTCTAACCAGATAGAACACGCAATTTTCGATCTGATCGCATAATCTTCCGAAAGTTTAGCTAATTGGAGATTAGAGTTTGGATTTGGTTTCGATTTGTAATCGATTGCCTCAATGTAAGGCATAATGATCGTCGTGTTTCGTGTTTTAGTTTTAAACACCAATAAACGCAATAATATTTATCTCCTCACAGATGTTAACAATTTGTCACAAAATAATATGCAAATTAAATTAAAGTTTATTGGTTACTCAAATATATTTATTAGATTAATCCACTCTTTAGTACAAAATAATTTTAAATTATTTATATACTTTTTTATTTTAAATTTTTACACAATAATTATTTATAGTAAATATTTTATATTATAACACACTGCGATCACAAGACACGATTAAATTATTAATTTTCTCACACAACGAGCAATTTAGAAAAATCACAAAATATTATGTGTAAAATATAATTAACTTTTTATATAAAATCTTTAAAAAACGTCTTGCAAACTAGCTGCAAGTTCGCGATTCTGTCAATTTGCAAGAGTTACCGAGGTTCTTATATTCGACTATTCGACAAAAAATAACATTTTTACTCCCATCCATTCGACCCCCGCGATGAAAAATAAATCTAAAAATAGTATCGCCATTTACGTCAGATTGGAGAGCAGAATTGGAGAACATCTTGAAAGCGAGGAGAAACATGCAATTTACGTTCGATAACGAACAATTGTAACAAACAAAAACCGATAACTAATAATTGCTTGGTATATTAGAGCCATTTAAACCTAAAAAATGTGTAAACTGCACGTGGAAGAACGAGGAAAAGAAAAAGTTAGCTGATGCACGAAAAGAATATTTATGTTAAAAATTCACAAGAATATAATCTAGATAGCGGTTATATGATAAATATATTTATCAAAATCAGCGGTTATATGTTAAATAATAATAAAAAATAATATTTATCAAAACTGGTATAAAAGTCAGAAAAACTAACAGATATTGAATATCTATCCCAAAAAATAAAAAATTTTTTCTCTGCAAAATTAATGATTACTTAGAAAATCGTGTCAGAATTTTATATTAAATTAAATTAAATTAGAGATTTCTAAAAATAAGTCGATCTTACCGAAATGTTTTTCGTGGCAGTTCTTTAAAGCCATTTATTATGTCATTGTAATGACCAGTGAATTCGAAATCGTCCATTGTTCTAATTTCACAAAAACCAGATGTAGAAATAACAAGATTTTAAACACACAAATCTCAACGATTCGGTAATGTTTAATTTTTCGATTTATAACTTATTTCACGATCTCGTGAGATCTTTCTGCTTCAGTATAGCGACAGATAAAGACACGATCTAAGAGATTCACATATTGCTAAACGCGCTTAAATAATATTCAATAGGAACACTCGACCTAACAATTGCACTATGTCAATCGACCGCGGTGGCCCTGTATCAATCGCTTCAGTAAGCTTATTGCACGACGATCACTATGCTTTCGATACAAAATAAATTTAATACGTATTATTTACAATCTATCGCAATTCCGCATTTTCTCGCACTCGAATTACACACAACATTCTAATATTCCGATTAAATATATTATACATCAAGAAGAATTGGCGTGCTACATGTGTTAAGAATTAACATTGTAATATATAATAATACCATAAGTTTGTTGAAAATTTTGCAATTTTGTTATTTAATTCTTCATGAAAATTAAATTAACGGTGTATGTAAAAATATTTCTTACCGTGTCTGAGAACGTTCTGATTCCACTGCAGTTCCTAAAGCAGCGTCCAAAAATTTTGCATTTCCGAATCTCGTAGATGTTGGTGCAGCAGCATGTTCCTGTAAAATTGCGAATATAATTAATTTCAATAATCTTAAAAGAAACTTTATAAATTAACAATATTAAATAATGTGATAAAAATGATTTTTTAAGCTATTGCTAGTTGTTCGTACTTGTATTGATGCTTATTTAAGTTAATATAAATTTTTGACACACATGTAACTTTCATCATTGTGATTTACAATGTTTAAATTTTAATATTAATTTATCTGTTTACCATTCTATTGCAAATTAAGTTTATTTCTGTTAAAATCGCTTATTTTTATTCCATACCGTCTATGCTGGACTTGAGACTTCTCGTGTTACTATTTTTTTACCATCGTGGCTAGTATAATTTTCCATTTTAGAGCACAAATATGAACAATTAACAACGGTAAAAACTCACTTTTACCACATTATTTAATTAATTTGGTTTAGCGGCAATTAAAAGAGAAAACTTTAACTACGCTTCTGGTAATTTAAAATTTCACTGAAAATTTACAATATTACAAAATTACAAAATGTCATTTAATTAAATGCAATCAACGTAAAAATGTCCCAAATTTAATTAAAAAATAAAAAATAATATATATTGAATAAACTAAATGCTACTTCAGCTAATGCATTATCAACTTTTTCACATTACTTGCAAATAAATTGACGGAAACAACTAGTAAATTAAATGATTTGAAATAGTCACACGAAGGGATTGCGCTGGTTGCCAGGCAGCTCTGTATTGATCTTTCGATGCATCAACATCTAGTATAAAAGTCTAGTATAAGAGGTTTTATGTTGAGAGACAGTGTCTAATATAATTACTACACATATCGCAAAAAGCGCACTCTACTCATTTATTTATTTGTATACGTCTGTATTTTTCGTCACGTGAAAAAGACTTCTAGCTGTCGCTAGAAGATTGCGTAACGTTGTCAAGAACGGCTATTACTAATTGTAAGCGGAAACCTGTCACGTGTATGCTAATTCAGATTAGTAGGCTTACGTCTACGCACATGAGTTTAATGAAAAGTTGAAAGTCCGTCTGGTTAGACTGTGAGATTTATGAAAAATTGACGCGTTTACAAAGAATTAACAAATAAAATATTATACACAAAGAAAGCTTCATTTATTTCTTACAACTTAGATATATTTTAAATGTACATTAAATTAATGCATAATAAAAAATATAAAGTAGACAATAAATTAATTGTATGAATTATATTCTCTCAATAACATCGGCAAATGTGTCGAGTAGACAAACTGCTCACTGCAGAGTTCTAAATTAAGTATCTTGGCATAATGCTGCGACGTATTTTTATCATCGATATATAGGTCATTGTCGTCACCCACGTGGTTGCAATAGATAAAATTAATTAGTTGTATTTTTTACTTGATTTGTTGACAATACATATTTAAAATATAATTTAATAAAATGATAAATCAAATCGTACAATATAAAAGCGTTAATATTGAGATTTTAAAGAATACGTTACTGCATAATGCGTACTGCAAATGCCACGTTTAACATTTTTCTTGCTAAATATTTATGTAAATATTACAATCTTCACGAATTTTTGTCGTTTAATATTTCCAAAACCCCAAGTTTCTACCATATATTGACATAATGTAAATTATGACGCATTTTTATCATCGATAGGTCATTTATAACTGTTTACGTTGCAATAGCTAAAATTAATCAATCACGTTTATTACCTTGCTCGTAAAGTGCAGTCTTCTAAGCCCGTTTGCCCCAATTTTTACGATCTTCAGCATTCTCACGCCTGGTATTACCACCTGTCTCAATATCATAGTTTTTCTCACTGATAGATTTGAATGACAAAATATTTCTCATTAATCCATATTTCGGGATTCAATCGTTAAACAAATTCCACGATGATTATCGCAATGTTGCCTGGGAATTGATCAGTTTTACGCGCAACAACGACAACGCTAGCGGAAGACGACCCTCGGCATTCTGGCAACCAACGTCGACTGCAGGGTTGTGCAGACGCCCGTGAGCGCGGCAGGAAAAACTAGTCAATGAGACATGCGCGATTTGGGGATGGTAGAATTTCGATACAGTTGATTATATTACGGATACGTCGTCGCTCAGCGAAACGTATATAATTCACCCTTTAACATAATAAAAATATAGTAAATGGCAAAATTTAGAATTAAATAAAGAGAAATCTTAAAGTATAATTTCTAGATAAATATATAAAATATAAGCTTAATTTTAAGTTGTGAGAATCAATGAAAAGATAACGAACACTTATTGTTTTTATTGTCTGCAATTGTTATATATAATAATACATTGTAGAATTATTGTAAACTTCGAATAATATAATTGTCATATTGAGTAATTGTGTGTGTGTGTGTCTTATTTCAATGTAATTAAACAATTAACAAATTATCATAAATTCCTATCATTTAAAACTGCGAGATGTGATATGTAGAAAGGCATATCTTAATAAAACGAAGTGCATCGATATAATTCGCTTTTCGCGCCTTATGATCGATAATAAAGCTGCATGTATAAAACTATTCTATTCTTTATAAGTATGTATAATGTCAGAGATTAACAAATATTACACAAATAGAAGATACCAGATTTTTATAAGTAATTGGAACAAAGTGCTCACGTTTAATTGTGTTTCACTTGCCTATCAAACGGATCGCAGAATTAATTCTAGATTGTACAATAATCAAAATAGGTAAGGCAGTTTTAAGATTGATATATCTTATGTGTATTGATATATAATCAATATTTAAATACTTTGGTTTCCATCTCCTCTCTTACTTGAAATTCTCGACGCATTTATGAGCCATTTTTGTAAAATACACAAGAAATAAAAACAATTGTGATCAATATAAGTAAAAAATACAAAATTTTATACGACTTTTTTAATTAACTAAATTAAGTAAAGTAAATTATATTATTAATTTCTTAATCGAATTTGATTCGTTTGTTCGATTGAATCGATTGTTCATTAAAAAATGACAATCATCGCTTTTATGACATTGAGCAGCAAAGATAAATTGAAACATTGTTAAAAAGTTTCTAATGTTAAAAATTAAAATTTGCTTAAATTCATTATAGCAATAATATGGAGATAATATAAAAAGTATTAATTTAGACGCGTCGGAATTAATTCCAATTCTTCAGCGGTGTGCACACGTTATCGTAATATTTTGCAATTTTATTGTATAATACATTATTGCACGCAGTGTAATATTATAAGTAATTACTGCTGTTCTACAAGTTATCATTTGTCGCTAATGCACACAAAAGTGAATCGCATTAATCTTTATATTTTAAGATCTACAATATTTGTAGCAATTGGAAGACTCTAGTATAATTGTGTGCGCTTAAAACACATACGAATATCCAAATGCATACACACGAATAAATACGTGCAAGTTGCATATAAATCGTAAAAAGTTGATTCAAAAATATCACGAGTCTCAAATTGCTATAAAGTATCGAAAACAGCTTAAATTACTCTGAATGCATTTAAAAATAATCAGAAATGAAATTGATTATCCCCTTTGTACAATATTATGGAAAATACATTTTTAAAAGTGATGAATTATAAATCTATATTTACAAACAATGCAATGAGTTTTTGATTTTATGCGTAGAATAAGGAGATTCCTAAATATGATATAAATAAGATGAGAATGTGCAGACGAAAACTTTCTATCAAATGACAATAAAAAAAAAAACGTGAAAAAAGCAGTTTACATAAAAATTTTAATGCCGTTAAAATTCTGGTTTTTTTAAGATTTTTAAACTTTAAATACATTAAAATTTCACATTCATCAGTCAGATAAACCTATCCTGAGAGTGAAGGCAACCTTCATTATAATCTTGCGAGCCACTACTTTAAAAATTAAAGTTTGATTAATGTATTGCATAAATCCATACATTAATATGAATAATAAAAAATAGATAAAAAAGCCAAACTCACGTTACATGTTTCCAAACGTAACTGAAAACATGTCTTGAAATGAGAATAATATTTATAATTTCTTAAAACGTTATGGAGACAATCTCAGTTTTAAATTCTGACCGCAATGTTTTGGTTCTAGCTATATTAATGACACATTTTTACTGAGAATGATCCGATCTATAACCGAAACTTGTGAAAATGTAATGGTAAACGGCTTTTTTACTCATTTCTAATTATTCAAAATATTTTTAATTGCGCAATAATACTTATTATTATTCTATGCATTAAATTAATTTAGACTTTGAACTTTTTAAAGTTATCTTACGTTGCTTTTTTTCAAAGTGGTCACTACTGAATTGATAGATTGTGTAGTGATACAAACGCACGTCTATTGGATCTTTATAAAATAATATTGCAAAATGATTTGAGAGTAATGACTCTTCAAATCTTAAGTAAAGTTAAGTCCTCTATAGACGTCGTTTTCCTAATGTGCAATGCGATGCAATGCTAATGGAGATCAGTTATGTTAATCTATATTAAGTAAGTAAAGCTCTGAAATCAGCGAAAAATTGCAATCCCTATCCCTTTTTCTACTGCCGCTTTTTGTAGGCGTCGGCAAAGGTAAATGATCACTTCGTTTGCAATATAATTGCTGACATAACATACCTATTTCACATGATCTTTCAAAACTTATTATAATTTGAAAAAAAATTAATGATACACGTTGTAATTGCAGCTTCTTTAAACTACAAATTGTTCTACATACATATCTGAATTTTTGTTGAATCTAACGAGTCGCGCATGCGACTAGCACTATCAAAAATAGTACCGTTTTTATTATAACACCTCTACAATGAGATGGTATACGCATTTTCATTCGTTATCACTCATTTTACGAGGGCTGTATGATAAGTATGATAAGTTAGGGAAGAAAATGCATTTAAAAAAAAATTTTTTTTACTTATTTTTCAACATAGTCTCCTTTCAGCTCGATACACTTAATCCAGCGATATTCCAACATTTTTATACCATCCAAAAAATATGATTTGTCGAACTCCGCAAAATAGGCCTCTGTTTCGGCGATGATTTCCTCGTTTGACGTGAACCGCTTTCCGCCAAGCCATTTTTTCATATTTGGAAATAAATAGAAATCACAGGGAGTCAAATCTGGAGAATAGGGTGGATAAGACAGCAATTCGTAGCGTAATTTGACCAGTTTTGCAGTGGCGATTGCGGACGAATGAGCTGGTGCGTTGTCATGATGAAAGAGCACTTTTTCTTCGCCAAATGAGGCCGTTTTCTTTTCAATTCAGCGTCGAATCGGCCCAATAAATCGGCATAGTATTGCCCCGTGATTGTCCTTCCCTTCTCCAAATAGTCGGTGAAAATGATGCCTCGTGAATCCCAAAAAACGGTGGCCATGATCTTCCCGGCCGATAGAACCGTTTTTGCCTTCTTTGGAGCAGGTTTGCCAGGTGAAATCCACTGTTTTGACTGTTCTTTTGTTTCTGACGTGTAGTGATGGATCCATGTTTCGTCAACAGTGACGAAACGCTGCAGAAACTCTTTCAGATTGCGCTTAAACATGTCCAAACAGTGCTTCAAAGTTGTCATGCGATTCCGTTTTTGTTCCACTGTGAGCAAACGCGGCACCCATCTCGCCGATAGCTTTCTCATGCCAAATTTTTCGTGTAGGATATTTTGTACGCGTTCAATTGAGATGTTTACAATGTCAGCAATCTCTCTGATCTTCACCCGGCGGTCTGCTAACACGATATCATGGATTTTGTTGACCATATCCTCCGTAGTCACCTCAATCGGACGACCTGGGCGCTCTTCATCAAAAACGGATGTTCGGCCACGCTTAAATTCATTGAACCAATATCTGATGGTAGTCATCGAAGGTGCATGGTCCTTATAAACAACATGCAACTTCACTTTGATTTCCTCACACGTCTTCCCATCTAAAAAGAGGAATCGAATCACTGATCGATATTGCTCTTTTTCCATGGTTGCAAACAAACATAACCTTGTCTACTTTTAACAGTTGTCAAAACAAAACTACTCGATAAATCTGTTTGAAATTTTGACTGGCGTCGTTTAAAAGATAACGTTAAACGATGGTATACAGACTTTGAGTCAATGATGCTTTCTGTCGTTAAACACGGGTACTTATCATACAGCCCTCGTATATACGATCAATTATCTTACTTACTGTGCTCGATTACGATAAATAACAAAAGATTCTATAAGGCCTGTCCTATCGCTTACAATCTACTATCTCTGTGTTGTTTCCAACGCGAGGCGTACGTTTGATATTTCAGATCGCTATATTGTTAAATCACTGTGTCCTGATAAGCGGGCGGTCCGCTGAGAACAAATTGCCGTTGACTCTGCCTGACGACGTCGGTGCGATTCGGCACCTGCGGCGTCGCCCTGACGCCATGGTAGTTGCTATAACTGGACCTGGCGCTGGCCGGGCGATTGCTGTAGAGCTCCTCCATGTCCTCGCCGTTCAGGCTCTGCGTACTGGTTTGCTGGAACGTGGGATTGCTTTGACCCTGCCACTGCATTGCGCTGATCTCGTTGGGCGTCTGCCAATTGTCGGTGAGATTGCGAGTAGAGCTGGTGGTCGCGTGCTGATCCCAGCCGGTGGACGGGCTCTGACCAGCTGGAAAGCTGGACATCGTGGTCGAATAGTTGTTGGAGGAGTCTTGGCCGGTCTTAGCCGGCGGCCACAAGATTGGCGATGACACTGTTACGTTCACCGCCTCCGGCTGCCAATTCCGATCGGGGTTTCGATCGCGATCCCAGCCGACCGAGATCCGATCGTAATTGATTGTACCCTGCGCCAGCGAGCTCACGTTCTGATTCGTCAAGTTCCCGATGCACGACGCACCCGTGTTGGCGTACAAGCTCTCCTGGTGATCCATGATGCGGTTCACCGGGTTCTTGCGGCGAGATTGACGCACCGAGCTGCGTCGCGTGCCGGAACGGCGCGTGCCATCCCGCGAGATCACAGAACGTCGTTTCACACGGCGCGGTGTCATCGGTTTCGGCGACACGCTGTCATCCTGCACCGGCGGCTCTGGCTGCGAGTACTCGATGCTGTACAGCGGCCGCGGCTGCTTCTTCTTTCGCTTAATTTGTACTATCGGGAAAAAACAAAAAGAGAAACAATTAGATTCACTGCGATTTGTAGAATTGAAAATTTTTTCTTTACTTGCAATGATTGAGAATAATAATTGATCAAGAAATAGATGTTAAGAACAATAAAATTAAAATTAGTTTTCCGATATGTTACTTTCAATAAAATGTTAAAATTATTTTTAATGAAATTATTGTATGATTTTAAAACTTATATCGCATACAACATCGGTTTTCCTTTTGTTGTAATAAAATACCTATTACAAAGTAGCAGTATATGAAATCTCCTGTTTAGTCTAAACTATAATAAATAATAATCTTTTAATGACTTTTTTTTATATAAATAAAGCATAAAATAGATTAAATTATAATCAATAGTCAAAATAATTTTTTTCTATAAGAAATAGTACTTGCATTGCGCAATTAAGACCAAAGATTTAATGACATATACTAAGAAATACAGAACAAATATATAGAAAAAGTTTCCCAAAATCCGCACAGTGAAAAGGTGTTAGAAAAAGAAAAGAAAAGAGTGAAGGGTTAATAAATAAAAAAGCAAGTAAGTAGTAGCATTGCATATTTATTGTTCCCAATTAACTGCACCAAAATAAATAATAACGTGATACAGTAATTAAATACAAAATGATGATCTTAAAAAAATATAAATGTACTATATAAGCTCGAAATGCTCAATAGAGACTATACTTGATTCGAAATATTAATCTGAAGTGACGAACAAAAACTTATCTCACACATTCGAGATTTCTTTATTTCATACTTGAATCAAAGCATAAAGAATTTTTATCTAAAACGCTACGATAGAGGAAAAGAATAATATTCTATGTCTAATAAATAAATGTTTCGACTATTTACTTTCTTGATATAAGTACTATGCAAAAATAAATATGTACATTTAACGTATAATGTTTATCTTTATTATTATATTCTATGAATAAAATCTTATAAATAAGATCTATTTGAAATTAAATGTAATTATCAAAGATAACAATCCTGTTGCATATAAAGTGTGTTTATATTATTCTAAAAAATTGCTAATTCATAAATAATTGTTATCTTTTTTCCATATATAAAATTTAAGATATGTTTTAAGATATATTTATCTATCACTCTTTCTCTCTCTCTCTCTCTC